ATATATATATAAAATTTTGTATTTTATTTTAAAACTGTTCCCAAACAAATTTTATTTTTTTCATTTTTAATTTTACATATAATAAGAATTTGAAATAGAAATAAAAAGTCGTAATCGTATAGAATGGATTCCTATTGATTCATTTAGTCCACTTATTTTTTGCAAAGTAAGTATAACACTTGTGATAATACGATCTCGTTATAAACTGTAAAATTTCGTCTCATAGAGCGCATAATCTTATTCCGGCTACTGCTTTTTCTCCCTTTCTCTCATCAGAGAACTTTATTTCGACAGAAAAACTCTCCGAAACACTACGGTGTTTTATACAAACACGTGCGACAAATCGATAAGGAATGTAAGGCACGATCGTGAACCTTAGACGGAGAATTGAAGAGAATTCTGACGATTAATCTAATGATATCTTCTGTGCTCACGAACAGTAGAAGAAAACGATGTGCGATCAGACAATAACATCTTTCAAATGACATTACCGCAGATAAGCATGATTCAGTCCTCTCTCACACATCAGACAGGTTATATATTTACCGTCACTCAGATTTAGTGTACCAGTTAACATCTCAAGAAATATCTAATTCGATATAGATTACTCGACATATTTAACTACTACATATTATACTTAATTTATATCTTCTTTCAAATACGCAGTTCGCGTGTGTCCGATCGCAACCTACTTTCTTCCACATGCGTTTAACGTATCTATCACTCGCTATGATTGACACCCAACAACTTGGCCGCGTCGTCCGCCGAGCTCAGAAGAACTTTATCGAGTAAACCTTTCTCACGTATGCCCAGCAAATTGGAGATCAAGTCGTTGTCGCCGCTCTCGCTGGGCACTTCCGCGGGAGGTGGCGGGGAAGGCAGAGAAGCAGGCGCAGCGTTCTGCGAGCTGTCGTTTGCCATTCTGCCGGTGAGAGTGGCCATGTTGTCGTAGTGATTGTACCGCATAAGCGCACAGGGTGCTGCGTCCGCTGTTGCGACTGCCGCAACGGTCGGTAGAGAGATTCTGTCCTGGGTACGGGGCCTGCTGGTATTCGTAGAGATTGGCGAATGCTGCTGACTTCTAGGTGTTATCGTCGGTGGCTGCGCGGGCGAGTTGTCCTCGTCACCGCTATTACCTATGTACATGGCAGAATCCACGGACTCGTGCTTTTTACGATGGCGCAGCATGCTGTGCTTCAGCGTGAATTTCCTAGTGCAGATGTCGCATTCAAATGGTCTTTCGCCTGTGTGGGTCCTCATGTGACGCCGGAGATCTTCCGCGGACCAAAATCGTCTCATACAGAAAGCACATATAACCTGCAGAAATAAAGCATTAATTGAGCTTCTTAGAAGCCAAACTGATGGATGTTTCTCTTGTAAATTTCTGATATTAGCGCTCTACTATTAAAATTAAGATATTTAAAAAAAAGAGAAGTTGATCAGTTTGGTTTTCGGAAGGCTATCATCAATTAATGCAAATATAATAACTCTTTGCAGCCTTCTTTTCAGATAGTACAAATTAATTTAAACTACAAACTGGAACAAAGCAAGTTCAGACTAAATATGTTTTTATTTTTTCAATTGTAACTGTCTTTTTTAAAGAGGCAAATGTTAAAGAAATTATTTCTTATACCTTTCTATTACTGTAATCGGGAAATCGACCTCTCTTCTCTTCGCCGTCACTAGGATGTTGCTGTGCCATCTGATCTTCATTCGCGTCTATGTTCATAGATGCCATATCGAGGGCGCCCTTGGCCTTCAGCATATCGTACGAGCGCTTGTGGTGCATTTTGATGTGATCCAAATTATCTTGACGCTCGGAAAAGCCGCTGTCGCATAAGTAACATTTGAAGGGAGCATCGCTGGGACCAGGCGATGATCTCGGCGACTTGCGTGATCTGGTGATCTCGTTCATCGATGTCAGAGATGTCGTATTAGAATTGACCTTTACGGCTGTGCTAGCGGAATTCTCCATGTTCTCGGATGCGCTCGATGACCGGCTCTCGTAATCACTATGATCGTTCTGCGTGTTGGAGCACTGCGGTGGACTATTCTGTTGATCGCTGGACTCCGACCGGGACGTAGTCTTACGATGCTTGGTCGATCGGTGCTTTTTCAGATTGCCTAAAGTAGAGAAGGTCGAGCTTGGGCACTGATTGCACTTGTATGGTCTCTCGGGCACGTTTCTCATGGAGAACGTATTGTTACTACTACTGCTGCTGCTGCTGGCAACCACCTGTACGTCTGGCGAGGAGGAATTTCTGACACGGCGCATCTTATTCGCCTTTGCCTTATGTTTCCTTAACAAGTGGCGGTCGCAGTTGGACTTCGTGGTAAAGTAATGCGAGCAATGTGTGCACTGAAAGGGCTTCTGGCCGGTATGAGTGAGGATGTGCCGTCTCAGCGATGAGCTCCAAGGGAATTGACGCGGACAATAAGGACAGGGGACCCGATTTGGTGCCATCGAGTACGCGGACTTCTTCTTCTTCTTTTTCTTTTTATTCGATGAAGAATCATTTCCGGAGTTTAAAGAATTCGAGTCGGACTTTTCGCTACCGGAATTGTTGCCACTGGTCGAGGCTACAGGACCTTCTTCGTCGCTCAAGTCTTGCGGTTTGAATTCCTGATATTGCTGAGATGCGTTGTCCAATAGTTTCGAGACACTCGCGAGATCGGCTGCTCCGTCCTCGAGTTTGCCCTGCTCTTTCCCGGAGGGTTCCGTCTTGATCATTTCTTCGTTGTGTATCGATTTGTTTTCAGCAGCCGCAGATTCTTCCGCGTTGATCCTGTCTACGCCGTTTCGTGCAACTTGTTCACCGTGAGATTCTTCCGAGGTCTCTTCCGCGGGGTCAATTAGTTCCTTTTTCACGATGATATCTTTAATGCCCTCGCTGCTCTCTAACTGATCTCTCAGCAAGCTTGTGCTAAGTTCGTGCTGAGCTTGCGGTTCCTGTGCATCCCTGTCGCCTGATTCCTCATCTATTACCATTTCGTCATCCGAATCATTGTCATCCATTTTATCGGCTTTTAATTGTTGTGCTAGAATGGCATACTTTACTTGATCTGAAATGGGATGCGTATTATAGTCCGATGTAACCATTGACGAGTCGACGTTTTGAAGAATATTCGGATATGGTTGAATTACTTGCGAGGTTGACGGGCCGGAATTCTGCATCATATTCGGATGATTCGCGGGCGGTCTGCCTCTAGTTGAGTGTCCGCCGCGGGGTCTTTGGCTCCAATACTGAGGATGTTGTTGCTTAATATGTCGTTCCATGTTGCTTCGCAGTGTGAATCTTGCCGTGCAGTGCTCGCAACCGAACGGTCTCTCGGTGCGGTATCTGCGCTGCTTCTGCTTGGGTATTAGCACGCCGTTTTTGAGTACCATCTTCACGGGATCGTTCGATGAAATGCTATCCGTTTTCTCGCGGCTCGGTGCGGCTTGGTTGGCTATCTGCGCGTTCACCAGGTTCGCGTAGGCGTTGTGTTCGCTCGAGGTTTGCGGGATGTCCCGCGCCTGCGCATATGCCGCGTAACTGGTGCTGGGCAATGATGGATCCACGGGAAAGGTGCTGCCGCCGGTCAATTGCAAACCCCTGACTAGCTCCTTCTGCAATTTGCCCTTCTCGGTCAATTCCTGACCAAACATGTGAGGATTGAGAAAATACGACGGTATCATGGAGGCGCTAGTCAACGTGTTGAGATTACGATAGAAAGTGCTCGCACAAAAATTCTCCAACGACGTAGTCGAACTTTCGCGTGCTCTGTTCAGCAGAGCTTGAGTTAGCAGCAGTGCCGGATTCGCGGCATACAATTCCTGTTGATTGTTCTTATAATGTTTCTCCTCCTGAGAATTTTCGTTCTCCCTCTTCCGTTTCCTGCTAAGATCTAGAACAACATCCATGGATAGATCCAAAGGACCGTCTTCTCCCGAACTTAACACGGAGCTTGTCGTGGACTTGGTCAGATTTATCGGACTAGCTTGAATTCTTTGGTGTGTATCTGTTTTGGTATCGCTGACTAGAGACACGCTGCCATCCGATGATCTTGACTCAATATCCTCGTCGATCTTTGAATAATTAGACTTCACGATCAGATCATGAGACGCGTTCGATTCTTCGGCATTTTTTTTCACGAGATTCAGAGCCTGTATTTTTATTGGTCTATGGAATATGTCCGGCTTCTCGTAACAGTTCATCAGCATTTCAGCGCAAACATTCGAAGGTCCCGGGTTACAGTCCATCGATACAGGCGGATAATGTATCTGCTGTTGTTGAGAGATTTCTTCACGTTCGTTCGGATAGATGAGCGTTTTTCGCACGTCATCCCTGACACCTCTGGGCGAGCTTCTCTCAACATTCTCATTTGTCGAGTCCTCGCTTGGATGATAGATCAGCGCATTCTTAACATCCTCCTTGCTGATCATTCCATGGCGATTCTTTACATGCCTCTCGCAATTTGCCTTAGTGGTGAACGCGTAATTGCAGAGGGAGCATTCGAAAGGTCGGTCACCGTTATGCGATCTCAAGTGCTTCAACAGAGCCCCTTTGTCGGTACTGGTGAAGGGGCACATATTGCACGGATATGGCATTCCCGGCTCTACGTTCATATGCGCGCGATTGTGCCCCTTGAGCGCCCGCAGATTGGGGAACACGGACGCGCACAATCTGCAGGGAAACTCGCCCTTCAGCTTCATTTTCCGAAATTCCGCGGTGAAAGCATCCTGCGCCTCCTCCTCGTTATATTCGGACGAGCAGGTACCCGAGGAACCCGAAGAGCCGATATTCGGATTAAACTTGATGTTGTTCTCGGGCGTGCTGGTGTCCGATCGCGGGAAGGTCGGCAGCCCGTTTAAACTGACGGACAAGATGCTCGGGATATCCGCTAGATCCTTCATCTCCTTCGGCTCCTTGATCTCTTTCGGCTCCCTAGGTTCCTTCGCTTCGCGCGCCAAGGATTTATTCTGCAGATCCAACACGGCGAAGAAGATCTCGCGCGTCGTTTTGGGATCGTCGGGCTGCGGGGACGGAGCGTCCAGTTCCGTTTCGAGATTGTTATTGGTATTGTTATCATTATTATTGTTGCTGTCGTTACTGTTTCTCTTGTTCTTGTATGGACCTTTGCATTCCTTTTCATGATCGAGCTGCGCCTGTCTGCAGGGAAACGCGTGCAGGCACTTCATGCACTGGAACCTGTTCACCTCGCCAGAGGCCGGCCGGTGCAGCTCCTGCTCGCACATCCGTCGAGCGATCTCCGCGAACTTCGCTGCCGAAAAGTCCATGAACGTGAGATCGCCGAAACCGTCCACGGTGCTGCGACGGCTGTTGTTGCCGCCTGCATTCTTCTTATAGTGACTCATAGAACGATGAAGGTTCAATTGCCGGTGATTCTTGAAGGTCATGCTGCAGATCTCGCAGGTGGCCAGAGATTCTGGATGCACGCGTTCCATGTGAGCCTCTAGCATCGCGCCGCTCACGAAGTCTTTGCCACAGATCATACAACCGAACGTCATCTGCTCCCCGTCCGGTTGGCATCTTATCATTATTCTGGCATTATTCATGAGGGTCTTGTGCCTCTTCTGTTCCTCCGTGTCACTGGCGTCATCTTGCAAGCATTTTCGCTTGCTCGCGTGATGATTGCCGGGCGACGACGGTTGTTGCTGGTCGTCGATCAAAGTCGGCGAGTTGCGCCTGGCTAATTCGTTGTTGTTGTACTCGCCCTGATTCGTCGTCGCCGGTCTCTCCGAGCCGCTGCTGCCTTCGGAGTCCGTGCAACTATTCGGCGATGCCACCCGATGGGTGCACCTCACGTGACGGTTCATATTGCCGTTCGTCGTGAACGACATGTTGCAGTATTTGCACTTGAACGGCCGTTCGCCCGAATGTACCAGGACGTGTCGGTCCAGCGAGCTTGCCGAGCTGAGCACCTTGTTGCAAACCCCGCAGCTGTAGTCCTCTTCGCCGCTGCAGTCTGTGCTGCGGGGTGAGTTATGGCCGCGCAGATGATTCGTCAGTTCGTGAGAACTGGAAAATATCGACGAGCACATTGGGCACGGATGCGTGCCATTCTCCGACAACTCGACCTATTTTTCGGGGAAAATGCGATATTAAGATATGCGATAATAAGATATGCATTTCATGGATAAAGATAAGATTTGCGCTGTTAAAAATATTTACATTCACGTCGTTCGTCTCTCATATGTATGATTAATAAGATTGCCAAAATTCTTTTTTTTTTTTTTTTTTTTTTTTTTTTTAAGGGATTAGAGTGTTATTAAAACTTTTAACTTATTAACATAAATTTTACTATAATTTGATACTTTTTTTTTCAAGACTAGTGTTATTAGTTGTTAATTAATTACTTATAATAAATATTGTGTCTAAATAAATATGTTGAAATAGATACTTACGCTTGATGATGGTGATGCGGCATCAATTTGTGTTTCGTTCTCCTGCTCTTGATCGGTTCCATTCTCAGATTCAATCGCTGCAACATAAAATGCATGTTTCAATAGAACAAAATATATAAAATGTGAAATGTACTTAATATAATTAGGTAATATGACGCAAAGAATAAGTTTTCCCAATTTCGCTTACTATCAAATATTTTATAGATATTAATTTATTTTCATTAATATGGATGAAAAGATCAAATGCGCGTTTAAATGCGAATCGTGTTAATGAAATCGAGCGCTTTACATTTCTTACTAAACGTTTTACTAAATCATTTCGCAGACGGAGACTAATTTCAGGAAGATCGGTAAAACCCGCAGAACGATCTCACAAACACTCATACACATTCTGGACCACAATCAGCTGACGAAACAGGAAAACCAAGACATCGGATATAACGAGAGAGCAACGAATTTGTGAACTGAAGCTTTAGTATAAAAGAGAAAAAATATTTAAATTATTTTATAGAATATAATTATCTAAATATATTCATTGTGGTTAGCTTTAATCGAGTACTGTGGCTTTATAATCGTTATATATCTCTCTCTATTTTAATTTATTTATTTTCTTCTTTTTCTAAAAAAAAGTTCAGTTTGTGTCAATTTACACAAATTATGATCCTAAAAATACATGGCTATAACACAATAAATATAATCGAGTTACAAGCTTTTCTTATTATCTGCAATCATTAGAATAATTCAGATCATTGAAAGATTTATAACGTGCTTACGTATAATAGTGTCTAATCAATGTGTATAATATCATATAGTTTCTTTTTTTACAAAATTACTAAAGAACCTTCGCTCGACGAAAAAGCAACGATTCAGTTGGTCTTCACGCAATCATTACGGTATAATTCAAATCTCGTTATAATGGCGTAATAACATAGAATACGCCGAGAATATATCGTACACACTGCGACCGGCGTTGTCTTTAAAACAGCAGATAAACAGGAGTCACACACCGGATCTCGCCGGTGTGTCGCGTCCTCTCTTCGGAGGTCTTACCGGGTACATAAAGAACTGTGTCAGCGCGACACACAGGACAGGACACAAATCTGACCGAGTATTCCGGAAACTGATACCCCGAACCGCAAATGAAGCCGGGACAATAACATTTATCAACGTCCTCGCCCGACGTTCTGACCGCACTCGACCGTCTATTCTAACTTGGCGCGAGACGCTACCGTGTCTCTTGATTTACACACATTCTCTTTTGGAGAACGCAGTTAGCATCTGGAGAAAAGTCGGCGATTAGGCTATACTGCTTAGAATCCCGCTATCGCAAGGCAAAGCCAAGCTGACACGCAGAGGCGGAATTTTTAATCGCTTTAATATTTATCGATTCGGGAATTGATCGAAACTTAGGCTTAGGTTCTCGAAAGACTATGATCAGAATCCTCTCCTGTGTTAAAAAAAAGTGATAAGATGTTATACTTCATATTTATGCTATTATTTTGATAGAAAAATATTCCATTTAAATTTTAAGCAAGAATGAATTTTAAAATTCTAACTTAAGATGATAGATTCTTTAATAACTGTGTGTAGCAGTATTTAAAAAATTTAGATTGTCTTTTTAAAAAAAGACACTATTCTATAGAAAATTTTACACACACACTTTTGTTATTGATACAAGATGAGATAGTTACCAGAGAGAGAGAGAGAGAGAGAGAGAGAGAGAGAGAAAATATAACATAACAGCTCATCTTTCGATGTGCTAGAGAGTCATCTTTATATAAATTTCCTTATCAATGAGATTAAACTTGGAGATACTATTTCGAAAACAATACCTCGGAGATGTATCTTAAGAGCAGTGACTCACACTTTTCCTTTCCAGGGATTTACCAGAACAAAGCAATATTACGAGAATATCTTACGAATCATATCGATTCAATATCATGTCCTGGTATTAACTGTTTTGAAGGTTCCTTATCATGTTTTCGTTGAAATTAGAAGTTGTTCAACATCTAATGGATGATGAGTAGCAAATTTTCACATGAAATACGAGATCTGATAACATCACGTAATGTTGTTGAAAAAATGATCTTTTTTTTTGTCTCTTCTTAACAAATTTCTGCGAAATTGGAGTTTATTCGAAGTATTCGAAGAAAATCAGACAATTGGCAATAACATATCAAAACGAGCAGTTCAGAAAAATGAGATAAATTTTACAATATCTCCACAAAATTTCGATAAGATAAATAAGATTCTTATTCGTCTATCTTCTCAGATCTGTATAGATTCGAATCCATTATAAAATGAAGTTATCAAAATTTTGGCGATTATACTATCCATGTTTTATATCTTTAGAATTTTTAAATTTATAAATAAATACATAAATTTTTCTCAATAATATTAAAAAAATAAAAAGTACATATAATAAAATTGAGAGATCAACCCAAGAATTTCTGAAAAATAGAAATGTGTTAATCTTATAATATCTATGTATGTAAACAATATGTATACAAATGTATACAATATGTATACAAATATACTTGCATTTATTTTCTATCAGATAATAAAGTTTAATGAAATGCTTATTATCAAAGTAATAACTAGGAAAATATGTGCGTGTAATCTCATGCAACGGTAGACGGATACCGGCGTTAAGCATAATAACTGACACCTTTAATATAGTCGAAGGACGTAATATGGCTTTGCATTTTCTTTCCGGAAATCTCGCATCGCCGATATTTATGCGCATCTTAATGCACGATAACACATATTAATTGTCACGTAATAAAGAAACGGAATAGTTTTCAGTCAGAAATTGAGATGAAACGATACAAGTATTTCAGATTGATATCTTTTTTCAATTAAATATTATTATTCTAATATTATAATCACACTGTAATTAAAAAACGTAATTTATCGCGTATAAGATACGGTAAATAAATCCCCTAAATATCAAATTACACACAGCTCGCCGATTAAATATTACACAGTGGTCGTCATGTGGTCCTAAACGAACCTGTTCGGTGGGCGCTTATATAAATGTACCCATAGACATATTATATCTAGACCGAGTGTTGAGGAGTGGTGGTAAAGGTGCACGTAGAAAAGGACAGACTCTGTTTCGTGCCCCTTGCGTTCTCTCTCTTTCATACATGCGTAGAAATAGAGGAACGGGGAAATGGAACTGGGAACTGCGAAGTGAAGACCATACGTACATTTGCGTACATGATCCTGCAACTACGTTTCAAACCGAAAATTCCATCGATATATATGTATAATATGCAAATATTTTACATATTCCATTAAGTAACAAATACATAAAAATTAGCAATATTATAAATTGCTGACCTTTAGAGCATTTGTAATATTTGTTTTTATTAAATTTTTACTTTTCAATGTTTGTATTACAGATTGCATTGTTACTATTTTCTTCTGTACATGTGACTGTCGTGCCACAGAAAGTTTGTGCAAATATCTATTATAATTAACATATTTTGCAAACTTACTCCAAGCTTGATTACACACATTTTGAGTACATGATAATGAGTATTTCTAAAATTTGTGACAAGTTAAGACTATTATTAAGAAAATATTCTTTATTAAAGATAACTATTACTTAAAAGAAGTAAAGTAAACTGAGTAATCATTTTATTTAGCAAGAGAATAATATTTTTCTGTGTGTAATAGCAAACTCCGTTTTCCTTATACATTCTATGTTATATTTACCAGTCTTTAGGAAAATCTTTTCCATATCATTACATCGTTTTCTGAAACAAATGAGTTTATTTTATACTTGGAGTTAAAGCAAATTATATATAATGTTTTTTTTTTATTTTCGTGTTTATTTTACCTTCTTCGACTGATGTTATTATGTGTTACTGTATTCTCGACAACTGTTGGTTTAACCAAAATAAGATTGTCATGTTGAATTGTTGAATTGTCATGATTGTCGATTGTTGATTGTTGAACATCTATTGCCGATTGATGTTGGATATCCATTGTTGATTCATATTCAATATCTATTAGTGATTCATCTTGATTGTTATTTTGAATATTGCTTCTTGTATCTTTCTTGGACCTTCTACAAGATCTGTCGTAGAAAACAAAAAACAGAAAAAAATTTTCTTTAAAATGTTTTATATTATATTTTTAAAGTATCGTAATCTTAAACTAAAACTAATTTAAAAAAATTTATTACCTTTGTGTAAAAACAGACGGAATTGCAGTTTTTTTTAATCTTCTACTTAGTATAGGTGTGCCAGTATAGTAATAATCGTCTTCTGTAAAATGATCACTGCAAATTCTTGCATTTTTGTAAGTATCGACAGTATAACCAATGCTATTAAACCATTTTTCTCGCCTTTCTGCATCTGATGGAAAACTAAACATATAGAATATTGCGTTACTTTCGATTGAAACTGAAGAATATTTATGTATAATACAAATATAAAGTTATAAAATCTAACCATATCTCTAAATTTATACATTACCTGTGAAATTGCCGTGATAATAAAACAGAATGTTCTTTCCAGCATATGTTGCACTTAACCATTGCTAACTATTGCAATTTTAATCACACTTTTGCTATAATGATAAATGAAAATAATTATCATTTCGATTAAGAATATGATAGCTCTATTTAGAAAACAATATTTACGTTTTATATTATTTCTTCCTAGCAGTATTTTGTCAATTGCGTAGCTGCAGAATACCATGCAATAAAGCAGATCATCAAATAGATCATCAAATTGTTCAGAACTAAAATCTGAGACTAATTTGGCTAACAAGTCATGCGCGTCCTTCACAATGTGTTTCTTGTATTCTTCGTATTCCTCAGCCATCCAAACAGCATCGAAGTCTTCTAATTCAGTGTACGTCTTTAAATAATAAAACGTAAATTTTTTTCTAATTTCTCTATATATATAGCGGTTGATGTAGCAAGTAGTAAACAAATACTTACATTTTGTATTATTTCTCTTCGATGGAATTTTCGGTTTGAAACGTAGTTGCAGGATTATGTACGCAAATGTACGTATGGTCTTCACTTCACAGTTCCCAGTTCCATTTCCCCGTTCCTCTATTTCTACGCATGTATGAAAGAGAGAGAACGCAAGGGGCACGAAACAGAGTCCTTTTCTACGTGTATCTTTATCCCCACTCCTTAAATAAAGGCAAACGCTCGGTCTAGATATACTATGTCTATGAATGTACCTGTCAGCAGGTGAACTTTATTCATGCGCGTAAATCATGCGCGCGCGCACGCCTTGGTCAAGTGTGGAGAAACGGGTCTGATCAAGTTCGTCTGCGGTTTAACGCGTGCCTGATTATTAAAATAACTCTTAACCCCTCGTGACCAATTCTAACTGCTTCTAATTGAGTATCCATTTTTATGTCATGAGTGAAATTATTATTATTTTTATCATATTGTATAAATAAAATAATTCATTTTAATTTTGTATAAATTAAAATCTGAAAATAGCTACTTAAAATTATTTGCAAACTTTTTTTCTAAAATTAATCGCGCTTTTATAATATTTCAGCTATATCTGATTTTGCAATATCAAAACGTGACAGTTTCTTATAGAATTTTTTTGACAGCATTGCACGATTACCTATAGCATGTTGTACTGTGAGAATACATAAGTAAGAAAACATCAATATCATCGCATCGATGACGAGAAATGCGAGGCAAAGAAAAATAGAAATCGTTTTTCGTGGTTCATGGAACGTCGTAACGATTAGTCTCCGATCGTTAGAAATGGAAAGCACCGTGAGGAAAGATTTCCAATTGCGACGATTAAGAATCTATACCATATTTCACTCGAGACGATCAATATGCAACAGACTCGAGAGAAATTGATAACAGAATATCCAGAGTGTGTATTGTTGTAATTCTTTACCTGAATTTTTTTTAAGAACCAGGTCTCTTTTTTTTGTATTTTATAAATCCTCAATACTATATCCAACACTTTACGATGACGATAATAGCATAAACATCTTCATAGCCGGTTTATATAACAAAGGTACAGAAATAAAAAAGAATTTTCCGCGTAAAGATGAGATCAAACGATGGGATTAAATGCGCTTTAGATTGAATAACATGTAGATAATAACATGTTTCGCGCACGTGGATTTGTATTCAAAATATGTGATGTAAGAAAAAATAAATACTTACGTCATATAACTGCAAACACTTAATTACAAATAAACAAATGCAAAACATTTGACTTTACTTTATCTTATTAAAATTCCATAAAACTATTTTTGATATAGTGCGTGCATGTATATGATGTATATATTTATATATACTATATAATATGTGATTTCTATATATTCATTATACTTATACTGATGTAAAATTATGCCATATAAAAGTCTATTTTACGCTATTAAGAAGGAATTGGACGGATCAGAAACATTAAACGTTAATAAATCTAATACATTTCGAGAATCATGAATTTGACATTGCGCTTATACGCAAAGCACTTTTAGCCTTTTAAAATATAAAATTAATAATTAATTTGTGAGTTAAAGTAAAGATTTCCCTGTAGAATTAAAATTTTTATTTTATGAATTTTTGTATACAGTCACTATAAAATTTTTGTAATATAGTTGTTATAAAAAAGTTAGTTCAATATAAGATAATATTTACGATTTTGAAATTAAATTATATTCTGCAGGACAAATCTTTAGTATAACTCATAAATTAATTATTAATTTTATATTTTAAAAGGCTAAAACTACTCTGTGCGTATCAAATTCATCTCGAAATATATTAGATTAAATTTATTCACTTTTAACGTAGTCGATCCATCCCCAGTGCATCCTTAATAGATTTTATGCGTATTTAAACAACTATAATATTAATTTCTGTTTATAAAAAATATCTCTCCTTACGAAAGATCAGTAGACTAATGCAGGGAAAAATGGACGAATTTGTCGAGAGGAACCAATGCGGGAAGGGCGACTCCCGTAATCGCACGGTTTCAAGGGAATCGAGAGCGAACGAGCTGGAGGACCATACAGAACGCCACGCCTATATCTGCATTGCACCCTCGCCTGGGGACCTCGTCGGGGGAGCCTTGAGGGAAAAAGGGAGCAGTGTCGTGTCAGCACAAGGGCGTACATGCGCATTTCCGTTCGCTCGCCCCGATGCCACCTACGAATCGTAGGATGCTGCGCTGAAGCAGCCGTGGTGGGGTAGACGACGACCCGACGCCGTGCCGCGCCGCGATTGGCCGCCGCCTTTCATCTCTCCCGGAGCCTTTTTTTATCTCCTTCTTCCCCCTCCGCCGCACACCCCCTCCAACGCAAACCCTACCGTTCCCCTCTCGAGCCGACCGTCGCCGCCGACCCGTTCCTTTTATCTCGCTCGCCTTCTCCTCTCCTCGCTTATCTCGCCCCTTTATCTCGCGCCCGCTTGGATATACCCTCCGTTCCTTCTTTCCTACATCTCGCTCGCTAGCTCTCCCCGGTTCTTTCTCTCTCCGTCATCCTTTTTTTTTCTCCCTCGGCGCCGACATCCGTCCGCCGCTACTGCCGACGATCACGCTACGTTTTTCTCCTCTTCGTCTTCCTTCCTGTCCGTAGCCGCAGACTCACGCTCGCGTCTTGTTTCTCTCTCTCTCTCTCTTTCTTTCTCCGTCTCTCTCTCTCTCTCTTTTTGCTTTCCCCTTCCCTCTTCTTCTCTTACCATTTTCGTAACCCTGCTATCTCATACCCGGTTCCCTTTTTCTCCCTCGCTGTCCTTCTCTCTTTTCCTTTCGACGTCGNTTTCCCTCTTCGTCTCAACCTCCCCTCCTTCCGTCCAGTTCTCCCTCATCATCCCCGCTTCTTCCATGCTCGGATACACCCACGCACCACGCAGGAGAAACAAAGATGGCGGTTAGTATGTTTCGAGAATCGTCTCTCTGACAACCTTGGATTTACCCATCCGTAACACACCGGAGCAACCCTTCGTGGATGGCAACCCGTGGATAACTATTCTAATTTGCGCACGAATACCCCTCTCCTTTTCTCTTGCTCTTCCCCGTTCTATCCTCTCGTCTGATTATCTTGTTTCCTTATCGGTTAGATTAACGATACGTACAATCGATTCAAACGTGCGTTTCTTCAAAAAAAAAAAAAAAAGAAAATGACTATACGTGGTAATTCCTGAAATATTGACTCAAACGTTAAGGAATTTCGATCTTTCTCATGAGAGGAATGGATAATCGGCTCGAGATGATAAAAACGTTTGTTTCGAAAGCTAGTATTTTCATAATCCGTAACATTCCATTTAGATTCTTTGTTTTGTGAAATTTGGGTCACGATTTCTTTTATAAAATTCTTTAAAAAAATTCGGTATTTAGTTGAAATAAATTGATGTCAAACTGAATATCAAACTTAAGTAATTACTCTACTTTAGTAGTAATTTTTTATATACAGTGGCTATTAATATATGCGACATTATTTTGCGCTGATGTAAATCAATAACTGTTCAATCCTTTTTCGAATTTGTTTTCTACGATAGGTTAAATGAGTAGATAAATCATTAAACATATAATTAAATTTTTGGCGTAAAATATAAAACTAATTTTAGCAAAATATAAGTTTCTTAAAATTGATAGCATAAGAAAATACTTCAAACAAGATTACTTGCTTACTTTTTTTTTAGTCTAAATTCGAGATCGTATCGCGAACTCACAAAAGTGAAAAGAATTAAGATGGTAAGAATTGATATCTTCTTTTAAGCAAGATTTCTGCCCAATTTATTTTTTGATTTATTGCCAAAGATATTTTTAGCAAAGTTTCTATCCTCGCAACTACTTTCACGTTTTTATTTTGAAATTCATGAATTGCGCAGCTTCCGTAACTCATCCTAATCTCAGATAATGCCGGAATTTTTATTGATGATCCGGCAATTTAAACGGTACGAATTTCGTTCTTAAATTCTTCCAGAAATTCAGATTTCTAAAGATCATTTCTTGAGCGCTAATTTTATAATTTTATTATGATGCCAATATAACTTGTAACCTGCATTTAAATAAAAATTTGTTTAAAAAAGCAAAGAAATATTTTATGTTAACCATAATAAAATCGACGTTCTTATTTCCGGTCAACGGAGACGTTCCCAAGGGATGCGACTCGACGGTTTATCAAGACGCGCGATATAGAAAGCAATTGTCCGTCGTGGCTCATTAATTTCACGACCGTGAGAGGGCGAATAGAGTTCGCTAGGTGCCCCGCGTGGAGGATGTCCCGCAAAGTACCAATCGTATACGTGGCCCAACCGAGTGTTTCCGCATGTACCTAGACGCGGTTGTCATACCGACCTACCTACCTACGGCCGCATCTATAGATTGTCGTCGTAATAACGTCTATACAAATCCTAGACCGACCTTACGACGCCTCAGGGGGAGGCAAGAGAGAGATAGGAGAAGGACGGAAAAGCTATGATAAGTGCTGGTCGGCGGACGTCTGATCTTTAGCTGCGAGTTGATATCGATCATGTATCATCCGCATCGAGTTTTTTCGATAAAAGATTATATATAGTTTGGTTCCATAAAAAATATTCTATGATCTTGTGTTCTCGCGTGAGAAAAATCGAGATATCACTAAGAATGTTATTTAAACAATAAGCTGTCATCATTTCATAATTAATTTTAATTTTAGATTTGAATTTCATTAAATAATCTACACACACATTAATCAAACCAATTTTTTGATCACTGGTTTATCTTTCGGTTTCGATCAAATCTTAAGAATAAAAAGTATGGAGCATCATGAATCTTTTTCAGAACTCGGACTTTTTCGCTACCTTCGACAAGTAAATGATGATAAATTAATATAACTTTTATATACAATATAAATAGTATAATCTTTATAACGCATTTCCGAGAAAAATCCATTAACCGGCACTCTGTATTTTCTACATAAAGTAAAGACGACCACTCGCCTAACGTTCCGTTTTCCATTTTATATCCATCGAATATCATTCCGTACGCGAAATCAAATATTGAGATATCTTTCGTTTTGAAGCACGTGCATTTTTTTTTAATAAAC